GGGGGGGCAATAGGAGCCTATATAAGAAAAAGACCCAAAAATCGGGATTGTCCCGATTGGTCACCCTACCATCAAGCCCACATCGGAGCCAGCTGTGGAGTCACACAGGGGCCGGCCATGAGGGGCCGCAGACAGGAACACACCAGAGGCGCAGGCACCGCCCTCTCCAGGGCTCTCCTCGGCTCTCCTTCATCGAACCCACCCCCCGGCACCGGCTAGAGCCCATCCCCAGACCAGCTCTTCTATCCTGTCATTGGCCAGCGCCTACCTTTTGATCCCGCCCACCCCCGATTCTCTGTCCTGCGATTGGGTAGCTCATGCTCTTCCCTTCGGCCTCTGTGGATCTATGCCGGGAAATTGGTCAGCTCGTCCCCCGCGCCGCGCCGCGCCGCGCCTGGATTTTTTTTGCCCTGTGATAGGGTTCGGCCTCTCGGTGCACCCGCCCCTCTTCCCTGATTCCCCCCGTTGGACGCGGGCCTGTCGTTGGGTCGTGTTCCCTTTGGCCACGCCCCCTCTCCCTTGGCCCTCGCTCCCCGTCTCACGGAATCGCAGATGTATTTGAGCGCGGGCCCCGCCCCTGGGTGACGCGAACACGTGTGATTGGCAGTCGGGTCGGGCTGGGTTTCCGCTGCCGGGCGGGGATGGTGGCGGACCCCAAGCGGCCGGAGGGAGCCGGCAGGATGGAGCGGCCGGAGCAGGGCCTCGGGGAACCGGACTCCCACCCCCGCGCCAACGGCTGCAGCCTGACGGGATGCGGGGCGCTACGGAACGGATACGTGCGGGGCCTGCCCGAGACCGAGACCGAGGTGTGGGGCCGGGAAAGCCGGGCGCGGAGCGGAGGGGCCGCCGGCCCGGGGCTCCGAGCTCGGCTGCCCGAGGGGAGGCGTGGGGCTGGGACCGGTCCCTGCATGGGGTGGCCAGGGGCCAGCGTGGCGGCGCGGAGCCTGGCCCGGGGCTCCCTGCGCCGTAATCGGGCAAACGGGACGCGCCCGTCCGGGCTTCGCAGCGAGCGGTGCCGCCTCGGACCCGCCTGGCATAGTGGGGACCCCGCGGGGCGGCAGGCAGCCCTGCTCCTTGGCCTGAGCGAGACTCGGCTTTGCGGAGATGCCGGGGCCAGTTGTGGAGGCGCAGATGGGAGCTGGCCTGAGGCGCCGGCTGCCCCCCCCGGGCCCTGGCACGAGCGGAGGGGCTGTCAGGCAGGGCGGGGGGGCCGGCGCACGGGTCCTCACTGCGGCTCTGGGGAGCCACCTAGTTCTCCTGTCGCGCTCCTGTTGGCCATGTGCGTGAGGCTGCCCAGCCCTGACAGCAGGAGGGGGCTGTGCTGCAGAGTGTCTGCTTTCCTAGGGCTGGCTGGGGAGGAGAGAGCTGGCAGAGCGTCAGAAAGGCCCACCGGGTCAGACCAATGGTCCATCTAGCCCGGTGTCCTGACTTACCAGTGGCAGGTCCTTCAAAGGGAATGAACACAACAGGGCAATTATCAGGTGATCCATCCCCTGCCCTCCAGTCCCAGCTTCAGGCAGTAAGAGGTTTAAGGACAGCCAGAGCCCTTCATGGGGTTGTGTCCTTGACCATCTTGGCTAAAACCCATTGAGGGACCTATTTTCCAGGAATTTACCTATTTCTTTTTTTGAACCCAGTTGTACTTTTGGCCTTCACGCCATCCCCTGGCAATGAGTTTCCAGAAGTTGACTAGTATCAGGAGGTAGCCGTGTTAGTCTGTATCTACAAAAACAACAAGGAGTCTGGTGGCACCTTAAAGACTAACAGATTTATTTGGGCATAAGCTTTCGTGAGTAAAAACCTCACTTCTTCGGATGCATAGAGTGAAAGTTACAGATGCAGGCATTATATACTGACACAGAAGTTGACTGTGCTTTGTGTGAAGAAGTACTTCCTTTTCTTTATTTTAAAACTGCTGCTTATTTATTTAATTGGTTGATCCCTGGCTTATGTGTTACACTTCCTTACTCACTTTCTCCACACCATTCTTGATTTTATAGATCTGTCATATCCTCCCTTAGTTGTCTTTTCTAAGCTGAACAGTCCCTAATCACTTTTGTATCCCTTCTCTGTAATTTTTCCAATTCAAATCTCTCTCTTTTCAGATGGTGGGAGTAGAGTTGCACTCAGTATTCAAGGTGTGGATGTACTATGGATTTATATAGTGGCGTTATATTTTGTCTTAGTATCTATCCCTTTCCTAACGATTCCTAACACTGTTAGCTTTTTTTGACAGCTGCTGCACATTGAGCAGATCTTTTCACAGAACTATCTATGATGATTCCAAGATCTTTCTTGAGTGGTAACAACTAATTTATACCACATAATTTTGTATGTATAGTTGGGATTATGCTTTCCAACGGACGTTACTTTGCATTTATCAACATTGAATTTCATCTGCTGTTTCCTTGCCCAGTCACCCAGTGGTGAGATCCCTTTGTAACTCTTCAGTCTGCTTTGGAGTAATTTTGTATCATCTGCAAACTTTGCCATCTCACTTTTTACTCCTATTTCTAGCTCATTTATGAATCTGTTGAACGTCTCTAGTCCCAGTGCAAATCCTTGAGGGACCTCGCTATCTACCTCCCTCCGTTGTGAAAACTGACTGTTTATTTCTGTCCTTTGTTTCCTATCTTTTAATTAGTTCCCAATCCATAAGAGGGAAGGTCCTCTCATCCCATGACTGCCTGTTTTGCTTAGGAGCCTTTGGTGGGGGATCTTGTTAAAGGCTTTCTGAAAATCCAGGTACACTGTATCCACTGGATCACCCTTGTCCATGTTTGTTGACCCCTTCAAAGAATTCTAAAAGATTGGTGCGGTGTGATTTCTCTTTTTTTAAAAGCCCTGTTGACTCTTTCCCCAACATATCATGATCATCTATGTGTCTATAATTTTGTGCTTTACTATAGTTTCAACCAACTTTCCTGGGAATGCAGTTAGGCTTACTGGCCTGTAATTGCGAGGATCGCCTCTGGAGCCTTTTTAAAAATCAGCATTACATTATCTACCCTCCAGTCATCTGGTACAGAGGTTGATTTAGGCGATAGATTACATATCACTGTTAGTTGTTCTGTTTCATATTTGAGTTCCTTCAGGGCTCTTGGGTGAATACCATCTGGTCCTGGTGACTTATTAATGTTAATTTATCAATCTTCCCCCAAACCTCCTCTATTTAGATCTCAGTGTGGGACAGTTCCTCAGATATGTTATATCTAAAAATTAAGGCTCACAAGTGGGAATCTTCCTCTGCAGTGAAGACCGATGCAAAGAATTCATTTAGCTTCTCCCCAATGGCCTTGTCTTCCTTGAGTGTGCCTTTAGCACTTTGATTGTCCAGTGACCCCCACTGATTGTTTGGCAGGCTTCCTGCTTTGGTGTACTTAAAAAATTGTCTTTTGCTAATTGATTTTCAATTATTTTTTGGCCTGCCTAATTATACTTAAATTGTGACAAGTCAAGTGTATATGTTCCTTTCCAGTTTTTAAAAGATGTTTTTTGTCTCTAACTGCCTCTTCTGCTCTGCTTAGCCATGGTGGCATTATTTTGGTGGTCCTGCTGTTTTTTTTTTTTTTTTTTTTTTTATTTTATTTTAAAGTGTTTCTTTAGTTTGGCCTCTATGATGGTGTTTTTTTTAAAGTTTCCATTCAACTTGCAAGCATTTCACTCTTGTGACTGTTCCTTTTAATGTTTTTTGTGTAGTTCCCCTTTTTGAAGTTAAATGCTAGAGTGGTGGGTTTCTTTGGTATTTTTTCCCAACAAGGATGTTAAATTTAATTAAAAGAAGCTTAACTGGATGTGTCTAAGGTAGTGGTGTGGAGTGTGGTAAGATTTTTGGGGTGCACTGAGGATGGTTTCTGTCCTAGAGGTTTCTGTTGTGGGAGAATAGGTGTGGTTTTTTTTTTTTTTTTTTTAAATCCCCATCTGCTTCTGGCATCTTTGGTGGCATTAGCATTTAAAAGTGCATCTTTCCATTTGTCTCTGGCTAGATGTTTGTGGCTCTTTCTCTCAGGTCTTCTAGACCTTACTACTCTGCTTTTGTGACCTCCAGACTGGGTTACTGCAGTACACTTTGCAAGGGGTTACAGTTGAAAATTACTCCAAATTTTCCAATGGTGCAGCATGCAGGCAGGTTGGCAAGCTGACAACATTAGCTGAAAGGAACATATACCATTTTTTTGGTCATCTGTACTTGCTTCAGAGGGCTATTCAAGGCACTGACTTTGATCCCTAAGGTCTGATGACTTGAGTCCTGGCTATTAGTATGATGCTTCTATTGCTGTATGCTGCGGTGACAGTTGAGCTCTGGAGCTAAGTCTGCAGATGAATATATTGGGTTTGGATAGATATTCTCAGTGAAGGGGCCTAGATTCTGGAATATACTTCTGCATTGATCTGTCAGAGCTGGAATTTGTTGATCTTTCAGGTGTACAGTAAAACCCATCTGTTCTTCCTGTGTTTAGGTGGATGGATGTGGAATTGGATGTATCTTATAAATTAAAACAGAAAAATCAGAATTAGTAAATATTACATGTTGGGCCAACTCCTGCTCATTATTTACCTAGTCTGGCTTTAGACCAGTGAGATGGAAAGGAAAAGCTCTGTATCCCTTAATATATTCCCTGTGTTGTCTGTTTACTTAATTACATGGACCTAAGATGGGACCTAAAAGTTCTACATAGCCAGTACCACCCACTTAGCCTGGGTTATTCAGTAAAATCAGTGGTTCTCTATGCAGGGCCTTGTGGCAGTCTTAAAACAAACTACATACTCAGTATTTGGCTGGAATGAGCTTTTCAATTTTTGGGAACTTTTAACTTTAGTGAAAACTTCAAGCTAGTATATAACTGTGCTTGGAGTTTTGATGCTTAATGTGACAGGATGAGTAGACAGAGAATTGGACTAATATATGATGAGAATAAAAGGAGAGCTGTTTTTTTCAGCCAGTTTGAGGTTGCTGTTGTCTACACGGAAGAAATGAGAGGATAGAGCAGGGTGCTTTGTGTGACAGATCTGATGCTTTTTGCCATCTGGTAATAGGGTTACCAACTTTATCCTCACACAAAACGGAACACCTTTGCCCCGCCTCTGCTCACTCGCTCATTTTCACCAGGCTGGCTCAGGGGGTTGGGGTGTAGGAGGGGGTGTGGACTCTGCGGTGGGGCTGGGGATGAGGGGTTTGGGATGCAGGAACGTGCTTTGGGCTGGGATCGAGGAGTTTGGAGGGCAGGAGGGGGATCAGGACTGGGGCATGGGAGGGGGCCAGGGGTGCAGGCTCCGGGTGGCACTTGCCTCAAGCAGCTCCTGGAAGCAGCGGCATGTCCCCCCTCCGGTTCCTACGCGGAGGCACAGCCAGGCGGCTTGGCATGCTGCCCCATCTGCAGGCGCCAACCCTGCAGCTTCCATTGGCCATGGTTCCCAGCCAATGGGAGCTGGTGCTTGAGGCGGGAGAGTGCGCGGAGCCCCCTGGCTGCCCCTATGTCTAGGAGCCAAAGGGGGGACATGCTGCTGCTTCTGGGAGCCGTGCAGAGCCAAGGCCAGCACAGAGCCTGCCTTAGTCCTGCTGCGCTGCCAACTGGATTTTTAATGGCCCGAGCTGCCAGGGTCCCTTTTCTTCTGGGCATTCCTGTCAAAAACCGGACACCTGGCAACCCTATCTGTTAAGGAAGGAAGGTAATGTACGTCACAGTAATGTATTTAGCAAAGGAAATTGGTGGATGTTACATTGACGGGTAGCAACCAGGATGAGAACTATGAATACTTTCCTATCCTGAAGTAATCAGCATCTTTTATCCTAAAACTCTTGTTC